TCTGTGCTGGAAGAAGTAATGATCCTTGGAAGCCAGGATGACCACACATCATCTCTCATACTTTGGACGTATTACCAGAAGGGACCAGTCCCTGGAGAAGGATATTTTGCTTGGTAAAATGGAGGGTCAGCAAAAAAGAGGAAGACCCCCAATGAGATGGACTGACACAGTGGCAGCAGCAGTGGGCTCAATCATAGCCACAATTGTGAGGTTGAAGCAGGCCTAGGCAGCGATTCGTTCTGTTTTGTATAAGGTCCCTATGAGTTAGGGCCAGCTCCACAGATTCTAGCAACAACAATTCAAATGTAAAGACAGTGAGTAGCTTTTGAAATAAAGCAGGTCCTCATTTGTATAGATCAGAAAAACTCAAAGTCACTTGAGATTTACTCAAATTAAGGTGACCACCTTAATTGACCACATATGTGTTTTTTGGCGCGGTGATGACTTTGGTGTATTTTACCTCATCAAAATTTGTGGAATTCAAGGCATTTGCTGTTCTCACTCTTTCCATCTGTACATCCTCATCCTCCCCCTCTGGGACTTCTGGATTTGGACACACATCATTGCTTCTCGGAGAAATTCTAGAGTCAAAACCATCCATTAATAATGTTTGTTTTTTTGGTTTCCATTTTTCTAGCCAAAGTACTGAATTCTTTCAATCAGATAAAAGACAGAAGCCAATTTGATTTCTCCCAACCTAAAGACAGGATCCTTTCTCATTGTTTTCTTTCCAAACTTCCATTCCAGACATCGCAAAATAACAAGGAAGACAATAAAATGAAGGAAAGGCTAGGAATAAAGAATGAGATTCACATTTAGAAACATGAAAATATCACATTTCAACACTATAAATGAATTAGGAATATTTGGTCTTACACAAAGATAGTTTAGCAACATGGTTATATAATGTCCCAAGAATTTTTTTGTAAATTATAAAACTAGCAAATTTATTTTCAAAATTGTTTTCAGAAACACTGGAAGCAAATATAATCAAATGACAGTATTACTTTATGTCATTTTCTCTAATGATTATACAGTGTTTGCAAAAATTGGGAAGCATATAATCTGATTGTGGAGCTGTGGCAGCATAGTTGTTATGAATCAGGCTTCGAACCTTAAGGTCAGCAGTTTGAAACTACCAGCTGCTCCGCAGGAGAAAGATGAGGCTTTCTGCTCCTATAAAGATTTACAGCCTTGGAAACCCTGTGCAGGGTCGCTATGAGTCAGAACTGACTCGACAGCATTTAACAACAACAACATAATCTGGTTAGTGGATTTTTATGAAAAAACTGTCCTAGATTTTATAACCATGGTATTTTCTTGAGCTGCATATATCTATAACCTCCTCCTTAATAAAAGTTTCATAGTGTGTATAGGAATTAAAATTACTCAATACCGTAAAAAATCCCAGCAAGTTCGTGATTGTGTGTGATTACAATTAAGATGTGAGTGTGTGCTTACGATTAAGAATAACAGGAACGCTTCTACACCACTTGAATTTCCCATAAACATAGCATTTGTGAACAGCTGCAAAAGGAAAGATAGTTAAATATAAAGTTTTCTGTTTTATGACATTTTTAAAGAAGTTTTTATTGTAAATTGAGTGACGGTTTACATGGGAGAACATCGGGTTTACACTCATCCTATTGTATTTCATTTTGTTGCAATGATTACAATCCCCTCCATGAATCATCATTCAACAGTATTTACCTCTATTCCGTCTGTTTTTTTGTTTTTTTTTTTTTCATGTACATAAAAACACTCAGGACTATATAATCATTTAAACAACAAAAGGGCACAGTCTTTTTTTGTAAGCCTGCCTCCTGGCCACCAACACACAGCCTTTCTTATTTCCTGTTTCATGAATTTTTTCCAAATAAATGCAATTTGGTCCACTGACCAGGCCTTCTGAGAGGTCCCCGGCTATTATCATGCATTTCTGGTAACTGTCAGTTCCAAATGTCTTGCCTCTCGCTATGTCTATGAGCCACTATGCTTTTATTTGAAGTCAGTAGGATTTAGTGCTTGCTCATCACCTGGTAAGAGAATCCTGGGATCTTGCTGGAATGACCCCAAACAGTGAGGAAGATGAGTTTATGCTCTGGATACAGAAATGCACACATTTTCTTGTACTATTGTCCCCTTTAAGGAGCTCTGGTAGCGTAGTGGTTACGAATCGGGCTGCGAACCGTAAGGTCAGCGGTTCGAAACTACCAGCCGCTCCGCGGGAGAAAGATGAGGCTTTCTACTCCCGTAAAGATTTACAGCCTCGGAAACCCTGTACAGGGTCGCTATGGGTCTGAACCGACTCGACGGCACTTAACAACAACAACAATGTCCCCTTTGTGCCGCTATTTCCTTACTGTCCCTTCCCTATAGCTAACCCTTCACTCTGAAATTGGTACTCCTAGTTTGGGGTACTAGGTATACCTAGTATCCCAGACTAGAAGTACCAATTTCAGAGTGAAGGTCCAGGAGTCCTGGTGTAGTACAGTGGGGTAATGCACTGGACAACACGGCTGGTTTGGACCATAAGGTCGATGGTTCAAATTTACCAATTGCTCCTCAGAAACTCTAATAAGGGTTGCTATGAGTCAGAACCAACTCGAAGGCACTAATGCCAACAAATAACAAGTCTGGGACACGTGGGAAGGACAGCTTTGCTAAGTACTTTTATAAGGAGAGAGCTGACTCATATTTGTCAGCAGATTCTCAAAGGTTCTATTACCCAGAAAACCCCTCGTTCCCTAAGAGAAAATTACAGATAATGTACACATATTGTACCTCCCTATTAGAAATAGCAATATTAGTTGGTTAGGGATAAAAAAGACTTTTTCCTCTGGGGTGCTTTTCTAGAACCTTGAAATTGCCAAGATCAATGGCATTTGATTAGCTGCTGTCTAAGCTGAGAAATTCCCAGGGTGCGTAAGTCCCAGAATGAATGTAAACATTGATATATTCCCTACCACCTGCTAGCCCAAGCATATTAGCAGGGGTTAGATTTTTGATTATAGGTCAACTGGAGTACATCAGAGAGAAAACAAATCCGGGGAAGGGGGGAATCCTCCCAATGGTGTGCCTGGTCAGCATGCCGTATAATCCCAACACTAAGCAAAAGTTTCATAATTGGTCATGCATTTCAGAAGGCAGTGACAGAAAGTGGTATTACTTACATGGACAGATAAGAATATGCAGCCAATCAATGTGGCTGGTGGAATTAAAAAGGTGATGCAAAACAGTCCACTACTTCCAGTGCCTCCCAACAGAAATATGACTATAGAGAACATGATGATCTAAAGAGAACACAAAGATGCTTGGTCATTACTCTCAGTTTCAGCTGTTGTTGTTGTTGTTAGGGGCCGTGGAGTCGGTACCAACTCATAGCGAACTTATGCACAACAGAACGAAACACTGCCCGGTCCTGGGCCAACCTCACAATGGTTGCCATGCTTGAGCCTATCGATGCTGCCACTTGACAAATCCATCTCACTGGGGGTCTTCCTCTTTTTCTCTGACCCTCCACCCTATCAAACATGATATCCTTCTCCAGCGACTGGTCTCTCTTGACAATGTGTTCGAAGTATAAGAGATGAAGTTTGGCCATCCTGGCCTCCAAGGTTGGTTCTTTTGGATCTGTTGGTTCTTTTGGCAGCCCATGGCACGTTCAATATTCTCCTCCAACACCATAACTCAAATGCATTAAATTCTTCTACAGTCTTCAGTACAGGTTCTAGATGCAAATGGCTTATCTTGGAGATATTCCTCATTTCAACCTCAACCTCACAAACTAAGCTAAAATTAATATCCTCAGTAACATCTTCTCTTAGTGACTCAGAAAATTCATTTTGCCTCAGGTATCCTGAGTGAGGCAGCCCTGAATACACCTATCTGACAAATAGAATATGTGTTGAGAGAAGTGAAATAGAAGTTGATGTAATGTCTTTGGAGCTAAAATCGAGAACAGCAGATAAGAAATAATCACAGATAAAACATTGAAATTTATCTGAAATGGAAAAAGAAGAGAGAGAAAAAAAAAAAAAGAAAAAAAGCAGAGAATACCAGAAAGATGTCTACCTGTGTTTCATTGACGATGCAAAGGCATTTGACTGTGTGGGTCATAACAAATTATGGATAACATTGCAAAGAAGGGAAATCCCAGGACACTTGTGTTCATATGGAATTGACACATCAACCAAAAGTCAGACGTTGAACCAGAACAAGAGAATACTGTGTGGTTTAAAATCAAGAAAGGTGTGCAACAGAGTTGTATCCTTTCAGCAGAATTACTCAATCTGCATGCTAAACAAATAATTCAAAAAGCTGGACTATATGAAGAAACAAAGCACCAGGATTGGAGGCCATTCATTAACAACTGCAGATGACACAATTTTGTTTGCTCAAAGTGAAGAGAACTTGAAGCACTTAGTGATGAAGATCAAATATTACAGCCTTATTATGGATTACACCACCTCAACATAAAGAAAATAAGAATCCTCAGAACTGCATCCTGAAGCAATATCTCAATCAATAGAAAAAAAAAAGAGATTGAAGTTATCAAGAATATCATTTTACTAGCATCCACAATCAAGGCTAATGAAAACAGCAGTCAGAAACTCGAACTACATATTGAATTGAATAAATTTGCTGCAAAACATTTCTTGAGAGTGTTAAATAGAAAAGATATCACTTTTAAGGCTAAGGTGTATCTGGAGAGCAGGACCCTACCTAGAGAAACAGTAACGCGAGAGATGGAGGCAGACATGATGACGTGGAGAGATGGAGCGGCTGGGGACTTTAGACCCAGAGAGGGAGAGGAGCTGTGTGCTGATGACCAGGTTGGGGAGGGGGGCAGGCTTGCAGGGTATACCCTTTGGTTGGTTGATGATGCATGGAGGGGATTGTAACCAGGGCAGTGAAATGATATACGATAGGAAGAATGCAAAGCTAATGTTCTCCCATGTAAGCTATCACATAGTTCACAATAAAACATTAAAAAAAAAAAGAAAAAAAGACTAAGGTGTGCCAAACCCAATCCAAGGTATTTTCCATTACCTTATATGCATGAGAAATCTGAACAATGAATCAAGAAGACCAAAGAAGAATTGATTACTTGAATTATGGTGTTAGCAAAGACTAGTAAACATATCATGGGCTGCCAAAAAACAAACAAGTTTGTCTTGGAAGAAGTCCAGCCAGTATGCTTCTTAGAAGTAAGGATGCTAAGACTTTGTCTCACATACTTTGGACATGTTATGAGGAGGGACGAGTCCCGGGGGAAGGGCCTTATGCTTGGTAAGGGGTAAAGGTAAAATGAAGACGCCCCTCAATAAGATGAATAGACACAGTGACTGAAATAATGTTCTCAAACATAGGACCAATTGTGAGGATGGGACAGGACGGGGCAGTGTTCTTCTCTGTTGTAAAAAGGGTTGGTAAAAGTTCAGACCAACTCAATGGCACCTAACAACAACAACAACAAATACATAATGCCAACTTAAAATATCTTAGACTATGACATTAGTTTATCATTCTACGTAGGGTAATTAAGGAGTCCTGGTGTAGCGCTGTGGGTTAATGGGTCAGACTGCAAAGACATTTGAACTGCAAGGTAGGCAGTTCAAGCTCACCAGCTGCTCTTCAGAAACCCTATTCTGAGGCACTATGGGTTGGAATTGACTCAACGGCACTTAACAATAACAACAACAACAGGGTAATTAAAGCACTAGCTCAGAGTTGTACATTAAGTGTATGAGGGTAAATAAAAAAGTATTGTTACAAACTCACAGAAACTTGTTGTTGTTACGTGCCGTTAAGTTGTTTTTGACTCATAGCTATCCTGTAGAGGGTTCCTGAGGTTGTAAATCTTTGCAGGAGCAGAAAGCCTCATCTTTCTCCTATGGTAAGGTTCGAATCACCCACCTTGTGGTTCACAGTCCAGTGTTAATCCTACAGAGCCTTTGTGCACTCCATTGAAACCTTTATTACACTAAAATATCATAACGGGAAGCTATTATTTCTCAACATATCCTCCATCTATGCCTATACATGTCTGAAGGTAGTGTTTCCATTTCTCTAATCTTTCTCCAGGGTCAACAATCAACACTAGTGGAAGCAAAGTCAAGAAATCAAAAGACATACTGAATTACATAAATGTGCTGCAAAAGACCTTTGTTAACGTGTTAAAGAATAAAGATATCACTTATTACACTAAAGTGTGCCTGACCCAAGTTATGGTATTTTCAATTGCTTCACATGCATGTGAAAGTCAGACAATGAATAAGGAAGACCATAGAAGAAATGATGTATTTGAGTTACGGTACTGGTGAAGTATATTGAAAGTACCACAGATTGCCAGAAGAACAAACAAATCTGTGTTGGAGGAAGTAGGACTGAATTGCTTCTTGGAAATGGTGAGGTGAGATTTTGTCTCTTGCACTTTGAACACGTTGTCAGGAAGGTCCAGTCTCTGGAGAAGGACATCATGTTTGGTAAAGCGGAAGGTCAGCACACAAGAGGAAGACTCCCAATGAGATGGACTGACACACTGGTAGCATCAATGGGCTCAAACAACACAACAATTGTGAGGACGGTGCAGCATTAGGCCGTGTTTCGTTCTGTTTTACACAGGATCTCTATGAGTCAGAACTCGCTCAATGGTACCTAAAAACAACAACCTTTTCCCAAAGACTTACACCATTTCAAAGCAGCAGTTTTGGCATCCTTGTTGTTGTTAAGTGCCGTCGAGTCGGTTCCAACCCATAGCAACCCTGAACAGGGTTTCCGAGGCTGTAAATCTTTACGGGAGCAGAAAGCCTCATCTTTCTCCCACGGAGCAGCTGGTAGTTTCAACTGCTGACCTTGCGGTTTGCAGCCCGATTCGTAACCACTATGCTACTGTTCCTTTTAAATGTTCTTTGAGTTTTGAAATAAAAAAGAAGTCTGAAGGGCCAAGAACAGGGATGTAGGTTGGATGATAAGCGCCCCCCATCCCCTCACCGCCACCATGGTCATCTATATCCTTAGAGAAAATCTACCAAGATTATTCCTTTGGAATTCTAAGAAACAGTCACTGTAACCTTCTGAGCTGACCTATCTGCCTTGAATTTAAGTGGCCTAGCAGATCCCCTAGAAAGCCACAGTTCTGATTGGACATTTATCTTGAAGGCACCTTAAGGTGACTAAGACATGTATATTCCTGAGGGAACTTGTCTGCAGGCGTCCACTGATCAGAATTATGTTTTAAAAGTTTTGTTTAGAATAAGGTCGTACATGTATGACTAGAACCCTAAAAGCAATACTTCTTGACTTAAACTTGCATACAATGAAATGTGCACAAGAAACATACTTACAATATGGAAGGCAAAAGACCAAATCCCACTATTTTTTCTCCCATTTCGAGAAACGAATGAAATGATGTACGTCAGAAAGATAAGTGACGCAGCATAACCGAGAGCACATGGTATCTGAAATCAACAGGAATGTTATGTTCAATTAAAGACAAATGCAATCTAGCAAAATCACTTAGAATCCCAAGAGTTTTCACAGCAGAGGATTTTATAGTTTGAGTTTATGACAATTTAGCGATCAATGAAAAAAGTTTGTATTGTCAAATTCTTTAAATTCTACAATACTATTTGTTGACTATTGTCACTTACTTGCATAATCTGATTTATAATCTTAAATATAGAATCTTGGGAAGTTACAATGTAGTCCATTAAATACATAGAAAGGAACATCAAGCAGTACAATGGAACATCCACCAACGCCTGCCCAAACCAATAAGCAGAAGGGAAAAGTCCTGATATCCGAAGCTGAGAGCGGACTTTGTTCTGATTAGGAGACAGAAAGGATACAAAGTGGTATTTCAATTTGAGGTTTAGGAAAATGGAAGGCATGCAAGAAACCACTCAAATAAAATCTTCAACTGCACTATGTCTACAAATGCTATCAGAATTAAGGGATATAGGTAGTTCCAAACCTACATTGTCACTTGGATGCTTTAATTCATGCTCTGAAACTTAGTGGCATTGAAACTCATCACACATCTGGTACAGATCTGTGAAAGGGAATCTCAAAGAAATCTAGATTATGAGCACCCAAGTAAACCAAACAGTGACTTAATGACTTATGGGAGATAGAGAAAAGTGTGTGGGGGGTGGTGAGGCACTGTGGGTTAATGCACTGGACTGCAAAGTTGGTTTCAACCACAGGCTCAGTGGTTCAAGTTCACCAGATGCTCCTTGGGAATCATATGCAGGGTCACTATGGGTCAGAACCGACTCAATGGCACTTAACAACAGCAATAACAATATCCATCAAGCTACTAACTTCCCATCCCAGAGTGATTCTGTATTGGGTCTATATGGAGGATTGCCCTCAGCTCAGATGTGAACCTTTTAGGGTTTCTACCAAATAGGAGCTCTGGTGACACAATGGTTAAGCAACTTACCTGTTAACCAAAAGATCAGAAGTTCAAACCCACCAGCAGCTCTGAGGACGATAAGACCTGGTGATCTACTCTTATAAATGTTGTTGTTAGTGTCGTTGTGTTGGTTTCAACTCATAGTGATCCTTTGTAGAGTTTCCGAAGAGCAGTTGGTGAGTTTGAACCATAGACCTTGCAGTTCCAACTGATCTTGTTGTCTAAGTGCCACATCAAGACTTCTATAAATGTAACATCCTTGGAAACCTATGGGTACAATTCTAATCTACCCTACAGGGTGACTATGAGTTGGAATTGACTGGAAGACACAGAACAGTAACACTACCACCAAATACATAGGTATTCACTGAGCACTTTCCCTACTTGGGATGGAGCATCTCCCGGCCCTCTGGAGATCTGGAAATTGTACTCTTTGTTGTTGTTGTTGAGTGCCACCAAGTCAGTTCTGATGAATAGCAACCCTATGCCCAGCAGATATACTGCCCACTGCCAAGTTCTGTGCCATCTTCACAATTGTTATGTTTGACCCTGTTGTTGTAGCCACTGAATCAATTCATTTTCGTCCTCTGACCTGATGATCTTCCACTTTACCAAGCATGATGTACTTCTCCAGGGACTGGTTCCTCCTGATAATACATCCAGAGTACTGAGATGTAGTGTCACCATCCTTGCGTCAAAGGAACAGTCTGGCTATACTTTATCTTGGTGTTAGCGTTGGTGGTTATAGGCCGTGGAGTCAGTTCTGACACATAGCGACCCTGTTTAGGGTTTCCATAACTGAAAATCTTTATGGGAGCAGAACGCCTCATCTTTCTCCCTCAGAACGGCTGGTAGTTTCGAATTGTTGACCTTGAGGCTAGCAGCCCGACTAGTAACCACTACGCTCACAGAACTCCTTGTATTTTATCTTACAGCTTCCTAATCATTCTCTGGGCTGGCCTCTCCCTATACAAATGCATAATATTTCCTTTTATTTTTTGTTTTACAATTTGGATTTTATTTTTTTAATTGGCTGCTTGATATGTTAACACGTATTTAAGTATCCTGTTGGAAAATGCTGCAATTCTTTTGCCAGTAGCTTTTAATTCTATGAAATAATGGAAAATTCAATGACTTGTTTTTACCTTATAATCATCAATGCTGCTCATGGCAATATAAGGAGAACAACTAGCTGCCAGAATCATCCAGAATACGGTATGGCTCAATAACGCAAAGGGGTTATCCTGTTCCTCCTGAAATTGCAAATAAGATAGTGAGCTGAACAAATTCAAAATAAATTTTCTGGAGCACATCGTTAAAAAAAAAGCTAAACTGACGATAAGGAATTCTGCATTAGGTTCCTTTTGGGATTCCCAAACTCTTCCATTACACATCGGTTTTGAAGCTGCACTTTTGCCTTGACACCTAGATTTATAGATAAGGAAATTGATTAAAAAGAGGTGAATAAATCAATAATATTGCACAGAAAATAAGGAGATAAATGCAAAAGTTATTTTTGTACCTTCTGATGCTAACATGTATCCTGAAGCTAAATGATAATGTGCAGTTAACATGTGCTAAATGATAATGTGCAGTTAACATGTGCAAAAGAACATCTGGGGAATAATCAACGGAGCAGAGTCTGTGTGATTACACACTTACCACAAAGAATGTGCTTCTGTCAGTTTGGACGTGTGCTGATGGTTGAAACATTCCAAGTAGTCCATTACTCACAATATCCATAAGAACTGGGAAGCAATTCAACCTTTTGGCATTACATGCTAACGAAAAGTTGTACTTCTAAGATACAACAAAGACAGTTACAAATTCTCAAAAATCTTTTTTTTTTTTTTAATCATTCAAAATTCAATATTTGAATTAAAAATTTAATGATTTAAAAATGGTACCAAATAATGAAAACAAAGCATCTATTTAGGCTACGTCTGATTTTCAGGACACCGACTGTCTAGCTTATGACGTCACAACCCCAGGGGTGGAATAGTTATTATTTAACAACAAACCAGAAGCTTCAGAATATATTTATGATAAAATCCTTGAGTAAGTATAAAGTCTTTAGACTGAAGTCAATACTTGGTCGTGGATACTGTATAGTGTGTAGTTTGCTAAGACACTGTTGGTCACTGTTGTTAAGTGCCATCAAGTCGGTTCCAACCCATAGTGACCCTGAATAAGGTTTCCGAGGAGTGGCTGGTGATCTTGAACCATTGCCTTGGTAGTCAATAATTAATACATAAATTAATCTAAATTATGTACTATACCAACAATTATAATCTTTGTTCTCATTTTTGTGTCTTCAATTAGAGACCTAAGTATATAGGTATTATATTTTAAAAGCCTGCCTTACTTTTGGGAAAAATCTCCTAGGGATGTAATGGTGAGGTACTGGGCAGCTAACTGAAAGGACAAAGGCTGGAACCTGCCAGTCACTCCATGGAAGAAATGACCTAGTGATCTGCTGCCTTAAAGATTGCAGCCTAGGAAACTCTCCAGGCCAGTTCTTTGCTGTCATACAGGGTCACTATGAGTAGGAGTTGACTCAACGACACCCAACAACAACGGGGTCCAGCTTACCATGGGATTACCCGACATGATAATGGCTCCATTGTAAGATGGGTCTTCTGTGCCGTCTCTAGTTCCAAAGGCATCCACCTCCAGAGCTATGTTCTGGCGTTTCACCGAATGTATAAAGTCATCAATGCTTGTTCCTTACATAGAGTTAAATAAGACCAAAGTAAGAAAGTTCATGTTAAGATGTATAGCAAAGTTACAATTAATGTCAGTATGTGCTACATATTGTAAATATGGACTGTCAGGATATATTTCCACATGATAACATGATATTTAAACATGTTTACGTCTCATGGAGTTTACGCCATAATATGTTCATTTGCCTATGATTACTGCGAACACAAATATCCTGACAGAACTTTCTGGTATTGGAAAGGCCATATACAATAAGGCTTTAATAATGGTGGTCATGATTACGTGTCATGGAGTCGGTTCTGACTCATAGAGACCCTGTACAGGGTTTCCGAGGCTACAAATCTTTACAAGAGCAGAAAACCTCGTCTTTCTCCTGCAGAACAGCTGGTAGTTTTGAACTGCTGACCTTGCAGTTCACAGCCCGATTTGTAACCACTATGCTAACCAGAGTTCCTTTAACTTCTATTAATTAGCCTCCCAGTTGGCTAATGCTAGATTATTAATTTTCAAATATTTCTTGGTACAAAAAACAACTTGTGGAATTGCAGTGGCAATGAACTCCAAAAACCTTCTCCCTAGCAATACAGCTACAACTGGTGGAAATTCATTAACAATAACAGTTCCAGTTTCTATAAATAATGCTAAGACCATACAGGAAATGAAGAAATATTATTCAAGAAAATCTACAAAAGCTCAGTAAAACAGTGAAAGATGGTGGTATTTAAAACACAACCTGACGCCTCCATCCTCTATCGCAGATCAAAGTGGTAAAATTCTCCTCTTAAAGGGTGCAGCCAAGAGTAGTCATTCCTTCAGCTCCTGTTGGAAACCTACCTTATCTTCCTATGAGGAGCAGGGCATTGCCTTTCCTTACCGCCCTTAGCGCCAAGCTGCAGAAACTCAATTCTAGGCAAGAGCAGCTGAGAAGCCTGGGCCCTTTCCTCCACTCACAACATGGACGCTTTACCCTAGACATATCAGGTCAAGAATACGAGGACCGTAATTATTGTCCAGCTTTCCGATGGTACGAAGGTTCTATGACAGGAGAGGTAAACTGAGAAGACCTGAGGCTCTAGCCCCAGCACTGGGCCCTGTTCATAAGGCAGAAATGCCACTCACACAGAATCCCTGGTGCAATGGTACAGACGTTTTTCTCAGCTAGAAAGACAGGCTGTAAGATCCAGGGAGTGCTGAAGTGTTCCTCGAGGAAATTGACTTTACTTGGATCCATGTAAACTCAAAATCCATGAAGCAAAAATGGACAGGATTGAAGGGAGAAAGAGACAGTTGTACAATGATAGTTGGAGATTTCAATACCCCACTTTAAATAATGGCTAGAAGAGCTAAGTAAAAGGCCAACAAGGAAATAGAATGTTTAGCATCACTATTAACCAACCACACAGCTCTCCACGCAACTGCAGTAGAATGCACATGCTATTTGAGTTCACATGCAATATTGTCCAGGATAGATCAAATAACTACACTAAAAAACACTGAATTGTACACAATAAAATAATCTATTTTACAACATGACAATTCTATTTCAAGTTAAAAATGTTTCTTGACACAGATGCTTTCATTTTGCCAGTTGTCTACCAGATAACGTACTTGTCCTTTGGCAAACACTTTCACAATTTATTTTGGGATTTGTAACTGCAAGGTTGGCAGTTCAAGCTCACCAGCTGCTCCTTGGAAACCCTATACAGGGTAGCTATGGGTCGGAACTGACTCGATAGCACTTCACAACAACAACAACATGCGTATTAATCATTATTAAAACTCATAAACTGTTTATAACACACACTGCAGAAGTCAAATGTTCATTTTTATTTTTCTTGATTATGTTTTAAAGTCTTGATTTGAACTGTAAATACATTTAGAACAAGATAATTTACCACATTATCACCTGTTTTATTGATGATCAACAAGCGAGTGAGGGGGTCACGTGGTTGTTGTCCTGGAGACAGGAAGTATGTATGTGGAGACAGTTCCCAAATGTAATTGCTTTGATAAATTTTTAGGATAATATACTCCAAAAGGAGAGGGGAAAATCCAACTGCTAGAATCAATAGCCTACGTGGGAGGAAAGTGATGATATGAGTGGATAGCTATTTCCCAATCACTTAAAAATGTCTAAGTAGGTGATCATTTAAATAAGATAAACCAGAAAATTTAAACATATCGATCTCTGTCTCATTTTTGAAAATGTTTGTTTTTTTTGTATCTCAGATTGGAGGTGACAAGATACAGATTAATCCTTCATTCATTTCTCTTGTTTTTTTTCCTAGTCAATGGCTAGCATACGATTCCATAGGCTAGGTCTCCTTTAGCTGTATGTATTCTGAGTCTCCCCTGGGCTTCCAGTATATCCATGCTAAATGTTTATCCATCACCATTTATACTGATGTCTTCAGGTTCATGCCTTCTTTCACAGTCACTCTTTCTATTAGTGACCACACCATTTCCTTAGCCTCTCAGGTATAAAATGTTTATGATTTTTTACTTTCTTTTTCCATATACCACCTTTCAAACAAATTGAAAAAAGTCATATCTTTTATTATATTTATTACTTCAAAACCTTTCTCCAATTCCTAATTTTATAATTGTATATCTTGTCTGAATTCTTGTTAACTGGCTCTTTAAAGAATTACTCTTTGAAGACTTTTTTTAATGCATTGTTGCCAGGTCAATATTATGCTAATCTCTGTCCTAAGGAGTCTGGTAGTGCAGTGGTTAAGCATTTGGCTGCTAACTGAAATCAATGGTTTTAATCTACCAGCTGCTCTGAGGGAGACAGATATGGCAGTCTGCTTCTATAAAGATTTACAGCCTTGGAATCCCTCTGGGACAGTTCTACACTGTTTTATAAGGTCACTATGATTTGGATTCAATATGATCGCAATGAGTTAATTTCAGCTTCAAAAATTGTCAATGAATTCTCATCACTCATTCATTTAGCAAGTATCTGTTGAGTTTCTATTGCATACCAGGTCTCTTATACTGACTTGATCCTACACAAAGGATTGATTGACCGGGCATTAATTGACAGCCAAGGTACAGCGGATGCCAGGATGTGAATGAGAAGCAAAGTGGTTCTTGGGAGCAAAGATGGTGTCTGTTATACACATAGTGGTTCTGGATAGTGAGCTACCTTCTCTTGTTGTGTGATGGGCCGTGGAGTCGGTTCCGACTCATAGTGACCCTTGTACAGAGTTTCCGAGGCTGTAAATCTTTATGGGAGCAGAAAACCTCATCTTTCTCCCACGGAACAGCTGGTAGTTTCGAACTGCTGACCCTGAGGTTCGCAGCCGGATTTGTAACCACTACGCTACCCGAGCTCCTTTTAGGAAGAGAGAAATAAAGAGTAGTTAGCATACCCAGGGAACATCTAGCAGGATACTAAAGGAAGAGACAGGACATCCCAGAAGGAGTCAGTGAGATATCAATTCAGCATCTAAAATATCCAGGACATTGGTATGGATTCATGGAAAGAAGACCTACATCCCAAAGTGACTGTCAGTTACCAATTTTGGAGAATTTCAAAGAAAGGAAATATTAAAAACTTGCATGACTTCAATGACTTCCAACTAAAGTCTCTAAAATGCTAGAAATGCAACCTGCCGGTTTGCTAACAGATAAAAACTAAGGCCACTGATTAAACAAGGCATTCTCCTTTACTCAGTTTTGTAGATGCAGACATGTATTTTTCTTTTGCATTTGTTTTTCTCTTGGTTTTTAATGCATTGACTGAAATACAAAAATCTATGACAGTCTAGTACTCACAGTGATAAAATAGCTCTTCTTTCATGCTTTAATTTTAAGAAGCGAACCCTTGCAATTGCACAGACTTGCTTTCCCCACAGGGCCATGCCAGTGATGGTGTTTTTCATCTCATTTAGTGAGGAGAGGACTCGTTCCATTGCAAAAAAACTTTCTGTGTCTCCTTCTGCTTGTACTTCTCCCCAAATGCCAACATCTGTAAAACACATCACAAGCAATTTATAAAATCTCACTTCAGATGTGTGTGAGTGAACTTATGGTTGGACTCTGCTTTATCACAGCTTTCACAATTAGAGAGGGTTTTCTACATAACAGTATTTCATAATTCATTGGAAATGACCCGATGGCTCTTAACAACAACAACAACAACATTACTGGCTGTTGCCTTAAACTAGAGAAATAAATGAAAGACTCATTTCTTTCAGAAATAGAGTAGAAAAAAAAAATCATAGAAAGATACTTTGGATGCAGATGAAAGAGATTAAGTTAAGGTAATAAGTAAAGTCGTCATAGCCCCTAAAAGTTGATACACTAGGCAGCAGAAACACTTGCCTTAGGTGCTCACTTAAGAAATGATAAGCTATAAACTGTGGGTGAATTGTGAATCTTTGCAAATGCAGGGAGTTCAAATCAGTTTGCATTGCTTGCAGCTATACTCTTTGGCATTTTCTCTACAACCCTAGATTTCAGGATGGTGTCCTGATATGATATTAACACAAAACCTCAACAGATGCACACTCATCAGTACATAAACACAACCACAGACATGAAAGTAAACCTCTCCACTTAGGAATGCAGATGTTAAGATTCAAAACAAGAGAGTGTTCACCATTATAATAAAAGAAGATTCAAGAAAAGAAGAGTTCTTCTGTTTCCAAGTCCCAGAAACTGTCATTCCCCTTACCAAGAAATGACATCTTTCCGTTTTGCTAATTTATCAGGTAGAGTAGGGCACAACGAACACCCCAAAGACTAAATCTCAGAAAGGGGAGATCCATTCAAGGAGAAAAGATTCCCTCGGCTGTTGTAACATTCAGGGAAAGGGCAGAAGGCAGAGGGAGCTATGGCACATATGAATAAAGGGAAAAAAAGCCCATATTAAATACTGAGGTTTTATACGGACTGGAATGACATAGTATAATCAATCACATGGCGCCCGAGTCACAATGTTAGCTTGCATTATCTATGAATTCTTTCTCATGAGGTCTTTGTTAAGTATATATGGGAACAGTATACTGAATGCTGGAGAGAGAACGGAAAAACCGAAAGAGAACCATCCCAAAGTGCAAAGGGGGATGTTGTAGTTGTAAGCCGTGGAGTCAGTTCCAACTCATAATGACCCTGTATAGGGTTTCTGAGGCTGTAAATTTTTACGGGAGCAGAAAGCCTCATCATTCTCCTGCGGAGCAACTGGTAGTTTCAAACCACTAACCTTGAGGTTAGCAGCCCAACTCGTAACTACTACGCTACCAGAGCTCCTTCCAGGGGGGCTAGAAGTGCACATAATATAATACTACTGGGATAGACTGAAATTCTGGTGTGGTGCTACAGGATAAGCACTGGACTGCTAACTGTAAGGTTGGCAGTTTAAACCCACCAGCTGCTCCTTGGAAACCCTACACAGGGTCACTATGAGTTGGTTCTGACTTGAGTGCACTGAACAACCACAAAGGCTATTAAAAGTAAAAATTCTTATTATAAGATATATGGTGAATATGAGAAAAGGTAAACAACAAAAAATGTAACTACAAAGGTAATAAACCTTCCCCAAGAAACCAAACTCAATGCCACCAAGTCAAACTCAGTGGCCCAGTATAGGGTTTCTGAGGCCATAAATCTTTATAGGAACAGAAGGTCTCATCTTTCTCCCATGGAATGACTGGCAGGTTTGAACTGGCAATCTTGAGGTTAGCTGTCTGGTGGCTATCCTACAGAGCCACTGTTGTTGTTGTTGTTAAGTGCCGTCAAATTGGTTCCAACACATAGAAACCCTGTATAGGATTTCCAAGGACTGGAAGGTGAGTTTGAACTGCCAACAATTTGAAGTCTGATGCTTATCCTGCAGCACCACTAGGACTCCAAAAAGGCAATGTTGTTGGTATTAAGTGCCATTGAGTCGGTTCCGACTCGTAGTAATCCTGTATAGGATTTCTGAGAAGTGATTGGTGAGCTTGAACCACAGATATTGTGACTCAAAATGACTTTGCAGGCTAGTGCTTTTCCTACAGGGCCACACCAGGACTCCAAAAAGGCAGTAAGGAGAGAAAATGGTTTAGTAATAATATGCAAAAGATGGCAGGCAGAAAGTAACAGAACAGTAAAGACCAGATGGGACAAATATGATAGATATGAACCTAGTCAGACTAACAGACACATTGCAAATAAATGAGCTGAACACACAGCAGTTACAATGAACAGATTATAAAATGGGTTAAAAAAGTAAAATTCAACTATATGCTATTTATAAGATATGCTTTTAGAAAAGTATTTGTTGTTGTTGTTAAGTGCCATCGGGTCGATTCCAACCATAGCGACCCGGTATAGGGTTTCCAAAGAGCAGCTGGTGAGCTTGAACCACTGATCTTGCAGCTCAAATGGCTTTGCAGTCTGGCGCATTAACCCACAGCGCCACACCAGGACTCCTTAAAAATATTGTTGTTGTTGTTGTTAAGTGCCATAGAGTCGGTTCCGACCCATAGCGACCCTGTACAGGGAAAAATATAGCAGGTTGAAAATTTCTGTAAATGATGGCATAATATACCATGTAAACACAAATCACATTAAACTAGAAGCACCTGTACTTTTACTAGACAAATCAGACTTCAAAAACAACTACCATTACCAGAGTTTCTATTTTAAATTTGTTTTAGTAGCACTATACATAGCATGAAGACAAGACAGGGAAGTTAGATTAACAGAAATAGCACAACCAGAACAGAAAACAACACGAACATAGGCTACATTGTGAAGAATGTAACCACTGTCACTGAACAACTTGTGTAGAAATTGTTGACTGGGAACCCAAATTACTGTGTAAACCTTCACCAGATATGCAATAAGGCATTATATATAATAAGACAAAGACAAAAAGAGGATCTTAACAACAGCAAGAGAAAATTCATGACATATAAGGGATCCTCAATGACAATAACAGTTGACTTCTCAACAAAAACTATGGAAGTCAAAAGGCAATGGTTGAAAGTACTAAAACAGAAAATTTAGAATAAATGTTTGGTCTGAAATCGCTCTTGGTGGCCTGAGAACAGGATGAGGACAATGAGTTTGGGATAGAAGAAAACAGGCACCTTCAATGGCAAGTCAATACTGACAATGGAAGTAATAAAACATGACAAAGGTCTTTTTCTTTTCCTTTTTTTTTTTTTTTGAAGTTTGTCTAAAAATGGCCTTAATCAGAATGGTCACAGATTTTGTAATCACACACTTGGAACGTCTTGAACTATAGACTACAGAGGGAGGGGGCTGTGAATATCAACATTTACGTGATCATTTTCACATGTTTTATTTACCTGATTCATCAATGGCTGATTTTCCTTCTAGTTTCAGGAACACCTCATTCAAAGTTGTCATGGAAACACCGTAATTCTCAATTCCCAGGTCAGGAGTGCTATCAAGAGCCTTGTAAAGATCTAATGAAGACACACAAAGGAGCAAAGAAGCAAATGTACATATAAATGAGTGGAGGAAAAATTTCACACTAAAAAGGACAGATATATCAAAAAAATATTAAAATACTCTTGTATGTCAAGGGTATTTTTTTAAATGAAAATTTCATACTAAAACCTTTATTATTTGAATTCTATATATTAATTCTTTTCAATTTGTATCAGGTGTCAGCCGAATTATTACCTTCTTAGGATCAAGTGAGAGAGATGAGGCTGTAAAGATTTACAGCTTCGGAAACCCTATCTAGCATCACTATGAGTCAGAGCTGACTCGACTGGAAACAGCAGTACAAGTTCAAGTGTTCATCTCCATTCATTCACATTGCTACTGCAATTTCATTTCAGTATTCCTCTGTCTTGCTTATAAAAATTAACTAATAGGAGAAATTTTGATTTTTCCAACTCTAAGCCTAATTAGGGACTTCTGGTGTGGCTCTGTGGGTTAATGTGTGCTGGACTGCAATTTTGGTTTGAACCGAAATGTTGGTGGTTCAAGCTCACCAGTGGCTCCTCGGAAACCCTATACAGGGTCACTATGGGTCAGAACTGACTCAGGAGCACTTAACAACAAACCTAATTAGATGGGACAGGTGTGGGAAGGATTGATGAGGTTGCCCTGCTACCTGCATCTCCCACACTTTGTGGGAGAAAGCTGAGGCTTTCTGCTCCCATAAAAATTTGCAGCCTCGGAAATACAGGATTGCTTTGAGTTACAACGATTTGATGGCAATTAACAACAACAACAGCAACAAACCTAATTAACTGAAGAGCCCTTTCCCCAGAGCAGATATAAATGGGAGTCATTTATATACCAAACAACAAAAACAATAAACACCTAATAATAAATAAATAAAAATTAGTTGGGTGGTGCAGAATCTTCTTCAGTTCAAAAAATATCTGACAAAGGAAGGACATAACATATATGTCATTAAGTTATTATATATATTTTTTGCTTCTGATTATGGAAGAAAGAGTTTACAATAACTCACAGAGAAAGAAAGAGGAATCGATGAAAGGCACACCAGGGGGAATAGTAAGAGATTAGGATAGCAATACTTGTTCTAAACAATTGTCTCTAGTCATTCTTTCACCCATTTCATCAAAATAGTTTGCATCAGTTGTCATTGCTCATATAGCAATGACCAGTGCCCCTGCTTGTATAGATTTAAATTACAGTGGTTCATTGCTTGAGGTTTAAGTAAAAATTCTGATTCTAAACTCTAGTGCAATTATGCAAGTCTTGGGGCTTCAATTTGGGACTTCTGGCAGGAAAAAGAAGTAGAAAACTTTCTATCTTTCTTACAATAATCAGAAAATACAAAAGAATACTAAATGCTGATAAGTATTATGTTTTACTCTTCAGTCTACCTTCATACTGCTAAGTGCTGTTGAGTTGGTTCTGACTCACAGTGATCATGTATATGGTTTCTGAGGAGCAGTTGGTAAGTTTGGACTGCCTATTTTGCAGTTCAAACGGACCTTTCTGAAAATTATAATTATTATTCAATGCACTAATTAGGATTTAGGTAACCAGTAGCTTTGTGGTTACTTGTGCCGCAATTATGAATTGTACACTTGAATGGCTTTGTGTGGTAATTTATGTGTCTTTGTTAACACTCTTACTGTTAATTCTTTCAACCACTCAAATCGGCCCTGCATGTATGTCCCAACACCAGGAAGCAGTGTCCCTGAATGACAAACATAATGAGTAAACTTTTATGTGTTGGCCTGAAAACCCTAGAGGTATGACAAAAATCATGTTAAGAGAAACAGCTAGACCATGGGTCTGGATAATGCAATGATTAAGACAGAGCTTTTCAACAATCTGTATTCAGATATGGTATGAATAGGGACCAAGATGGCTCTATCAGATAAGCACTGGACTGTGAACCACAAGGTTGGTGATTCAAGCCCAGTAGCTACTCCAGACGAGGCTTTCTGCTCTTGCAACAGTGTGGTTAGGAATACTTGAATATTTTACTAAACATTGCAAAGAGAATGAAGGACTATAAAAAATTCCCCCAAATTCCCAAGTATTATAATGCAACTAAGAGAAGGAGCTCTGATAGTGTAGTGGTTATGAATCGGGCTGCAAACCTCAGGGTCAGCAGTTCAAAACTACCAGCTGTTCCATGGGAGAAAGATGAGGCATTCTACTCCCGTGAAGATTTACAGCCTCGGAAACCCTGTACAGGGTCGCTATGAGTTGGAGCCGACTCCACGGCACATCACAACAACAACAATAGAATATAATAAGAGTTTCCAATAGAGATAAAACACTCAGTTATTGTAATATTCTTTTGACTTTCAAATGACACATACTCAAGTCTCAATAAAAGTTATAATAATAATATTATGATTATTATATATCTTACATATATAAATTTGCATATTTCATTTCATAGTGTTTATATATATTACCTGGGAATTTATTTGTTCTTTCTAATGGCAACGTATACATGAGTTTTCCTTCACTTTCTGCCGATAACTTGGCCTCAGGGATATGTTGCTTAACGAGGGCTGTTATTTTTTCCTGAACACACATTTCATTCAACTGCAAACTGGTGTTCAAAAGAAAGGCATATGTTATTTGACACTGTCTCTAATATCATGAAAAAAATACTAGTCTTTATGGTAGAAAAAATATATATTAAAATCAAACTAAGAAATAGGCCAAAATAAATATAAGAAATTGACCACGTGAACAGGAGAACAAAAATCAGATCCTATAAACATGGTGGGGGAGAGCAAAAAGGAACTTATCAGAAAAACTGCCCAGGTTAATCACGAGTTGTGCCTACCGAACATCAGTACTGACCTGGTCCTGAAATATATGTATATTTCATGTATAGTTACAGAGCAGGGATCTCAGGCTTGCAAAGGGCCTCAACAAGCTTAAGGTAAATCTGAGCCTGTTTTATTCTTATACCTATCCAAAATCTTCTCTTCTTGACCAATCATATTTAATTTTCCTTTGTATCCAAAGTCTTCAGTTCTTGCTCAATTGTATTTAGTTTTCCTTTAAACATATTCAATTTCATCATCCAGTGCAAATTTATTGAGTTCTTAATATGTGACAAGCATCCGGCTCAGTGGTGAAGCTACAATTGTGAATAATTGTCTAGTTCTTACTGAGATGACTTACTGGCTAGTGGAGGGGCAGGCCGAAGAGAATGTAAATAAACTGATGAATAATTATCAACAGTTATAAGTGCTGTGAGGAACAGGCTTATGAGACGGATAAATGTTGGTAAAGACTGGTAGGAAGGCGTTTTCCTTTCTTTGTAGTGTCAACAACAAGACTTTGACCAAGAACAGAATATCATTGAGAGAAAGAAGTGGTGTTCATTCAAAAACACCACAGATAAATTTCTCAGTGTAGAAAAGCCTTTGAAAAGTTCTGTAAAATCCATCTATGATTCAAGGTTATAAAGAATAAGGTAGCTAAAATATACGTAGTGGTCTGGCTTCAAAAAGTCTTGTTGCAATTTGAAGTGTGTATAACCTGTCGAAATAGTTTCCCTATATAAAAAATGGAGTGTAGATACTAGAATAGAGATTTGTTCTAATAAATAAGTGATAGGGAGATTTGAGATTTGCACTTAGCAAGCTCTCCAAAAATTGTTTACCCAACATGTAACTCAAAATTATTACATTGACTAATGAGGTATGCATGAACTTACAAGAATATGTGCCATTCTTACAATTAGTAAAATCCACTGGGGGAATCAAACGAACAATATTTAACTCTCTTACGTAGGCCAGCATACATACATGGACACGAAATAATTCTTGACTTGCTCGGTTATTCTGTTGTGGCAGCTGGGAGAATGTTTAAAATAGTTTTTGGTTTATTCCCCCAGTGGATTTTACACACACACACACACACACACACACACACACACACACACGTACAGACATCTGGGCATAATCTTGAAAGGTTGGCTTTTATGTTGTAAAGTTTTGTTTTAAGTACTGTGTCTTACTCAAACCTACTTCTCAGGCATTTTCAGCCTCCTCCAGAGGCCCTACCTTAAGTGATATCCAATCCCCCACTTCTTCTTCAGAAAAAGAGACGAGCCTGCACACTTCAGCTTCCCTTTGGAAAGAAACACTTTCCTATCTGAGAAGAAAGCAGCAAAGAAGAAAGTATTAGGAAGCTGCCCATTCATTTCCAAGTTGTCGCCAGTGTTAGGCGGTGTAGGGTTGGATCCAACTCATAGGGATGCAATGCACAGCAGAACCAAACAATGTCCCCTTCTGCATCATCCTCACAGCATCTTCACGTTTGAGCCCATTGTTACAGTCACTGTGTCAGTTTATCTCGAAATGGATTGCATGACTTAATGGATTTAAGTCCTGAGAACAGAGAGCTAATGCCAAGGTGAGAACTATGGCAGCCAAGAGGAAAATGAAAGGAAGGAAGGAAGGAAAGAGGGAAAGAGAGAGAGTGAAAGAGAAAGGGAGGAAGGGAAGAAGGAAGGGAGGAAGAAAGGAAGGAATGAAGGAAGGAAAGAAGGAAGGAAAGGAGGAAGGGAGGGAGGGAGGGAGGGAGGGA